GTACGTCTGTACGGTCGTCCGTCCGTCTGTACGTACGCGTCGTACGGAGACCCCTTGACGATGTACGGGGGACGACACTGATTTTTTACTTTAAATGAAGTTCATGTGATACTTTCATATTATTTTCATAATCCGAACCTCGTTGTGTGATTCCCTCAATCAATTAAACAATTTTTTTTCTTTTCATGATTACAAAATTTATGGAAGTGCGACGAAATTCATACTTGACATTTAATTTGTGACAATGACATTTAAGTTTCGTCATTTAAGTTACATAATTTATCGAAGTGCGACGGATTTCATAGTTAAACCATCTTGTTTACAGTGTGATTGCATTGACTCTTCAATTGACTTCCAATTTCTTTTAGTAACAACGTCATGTAAAATACGTCCGATTCAATGCTCAGTGATATACAAAATTAATTGAAGTGTGATGAAATGCAAATGTCATTCACAGCCTTCTCGTTGAGTGTCTCATTGCGTTCACAGTTCTCTTGAATTTCAATGAATGACAATGACATGGCAGCAACGTCTTTTAAGTTACATGAAATATCGAAGTGCGACGAAGTCCATATTTAAACCCCCTGGTTTGCCGTGTAATTGCCTTGACTCTTCGATTGAGTTCAAATTTATGCCAATCACAGTGTCGTGTAAAATACGTCTGACTCAATGCTCACACAAAATTGATCAAGGTGTGATGAAATCGAGAGTTTAACATTGTTGTTTAGTATCTCACGGCATTGACTGTTCTCTTGAGTTTCAATTTCTGACAACTCCATGCCAATTACGACGTATAAGTTTCAAAATTTAATATGGAAGTGCAATGGAATCCACACTTAAACCATTATGTTCGGTACGTGATTGCTCTAAATGTTTACTTGAGTTTTAATTTATGGTCTGTCAATTGCATTCTTCGGGTTCATTACCTGTATCCTTAGTTTCATTCAAATCCAAAATTTGTGATTTTCACACAAAATTAATAGCTTTATAATGTCCTGTTTTAATGAATAACATGTTAAATGCAAAAAAGGACAATGAAATGCTACTGAAAGTTTGTTTTCCCCTATTTCCCCAAAAACAATGAATAACCAAATGTTTAAGAACTAAAATGGAAAATACAACAATCCTCGATGAAAGGTTCCGCATACTACGCAACGTCAGACACAGGGACTCGCTACAACATGAAATGAATGTAGACAGTACTCCTGGCTTGGTGCCGTCGCAAAAACGAGTTTGGGGCCGCCCAGCCAAACACAGCATGAACACTCATGGATGTCAGAATGCCCTCCCACAGAGTGTTAGAGTATCTTACCACAAGTGTCAGAGCGTCCTCCCAAAGAAGGTCATGATGGGACAAGCACCGTTGAACCCATACCCCACTTGACATGGGGTATGTAGTTCAACGGAAGATGGGCAGGGTAGGGGGCTTTGTAATCGGGCGGAAGGATTTTTCAGCACCTTTCTTCAACCAAAAAACAAAAACCAAAGTCTTTGTATTTTATACACCTAGGAACATCCGCTGGATGTGCAGCTCCGGATGCATCTCAGACGTCGTGTGGGGTCACACATGTTAAGCTAGTCCAACGTTGAACTGTCTCAAAGGTGTATGTGGGACTTAGCCCTGAGGACCTCACAATTCAACCCCGAGTCACGTATACAGGAAACCAGGGCCAAGTCCCACCTGACTATTAACCATCGATTCAGAAGATCAACGGCCAGAAATGACGAATCTGGTCAAGTGGGACTTGGGCCCGGGTCCAGCATCCCTTATAAGCACAGCTATCTTAAAAGGAAAGGAAACTGAACTGCCCTTCTTCCCCCCAATACAACGTACACGGTATGTGTTCGGGGTATCTTTCAGTCTAAAAGCAGATATGATGACCGTACGTTGTATTCCGGGAAAGAAGGGTTGCAAAATGAAATGAAAAATCCGAGACAGACTGCACCAGTGCCTTTCCATGTTTTTGCAGACGATAGATGCTCCATTTTCACATTCGGGGAAGAGTAGTGCGGCCATAGGGCTGATCGTTTCTGGCTGCTAAAGAGGTGGGGACCACACCCCAAATGTAACGTCATAGAGCGCCGAGCTCATTCACTAACCTGACTGTTTGTAACCATAGGCCTTGCGGTAAGGCTCACGAAGCAGAAAACAAAAAAAAAAACAGAAAACAAAAAGAGAAAGCGTCTGTCTACTAGTAGTAAACGGACGAATACAGTGCTCCATTCTTGGAAGGACGATGCCGTCGTTTCGTTTTCAGAGAAGGTAGCAAAGTGCATCGGGTACTCCTTATCGAAATCCAATGGATTGTTCCATATTCAGAGGCAAGATGCATTGGTTTTGTTTTCATTTCCACTGCAGTGCGGCCAGGACCTATTTACCGGACTAGTGTTTCAGTGGAACAGTGCCCCCGATCGTTTCAAGAGCAGGAGGAGGAGGTACTCGAGGAGACCGTTGTAGGGGACATGGATCATGGCTATGGCCACAAAGCGTGCAAGCTCGGAGGAAAGGCGGCTATGGCAACAGGCTCACCATGCATCGTCTCCAAAAAGAGTCCTAACCACGAACGACTCTTTAGGTATGTATACACTCTACTTGGTGGGTGAGTCTCTTTTTTTTTTGGTTTTTTATCCAGATCAACAAGAGGTCCGCATTTTTTTTTTTTTAAGCACAGGTTTTTGTCGAGGTGGGATCCTAGACAGACGACAGTCACCCACTGCCATTCGGTGAGGAGCAGCAAATGATGGAAGCCATTCCAGCGTCCCATACAAACATACTATAATTCATTAAAAAAAATGCAGCTCTCCACAGTCATGTCTTTTCCTCCTATGGTTAGGGCGAGAGGCCTTCTATTCGGGAAAGACGATAATCTTCTCTCTATCGTTCAAATTTTCACGGTAGTCCTCTCGCTCGCTTCCTCCCTCGCTCCC